TTACAGAGTGAGTTGGCACTGGCAGGAAAACAGGCCTCCCTCTTCTAGATTACAATATCCACAGGTGTCCTGTGGGGTATAGTTTGTTTGGTATGTCTTTTGCTTTGAAATGATCTGTGTGTTTCAGTTTAAACTATCTCCTATAGATAGAAATATATTTACATCTTAAAAATACCCAGTTTTAGTCTGGTGGTGGTGGGGCATGCCCTGGCTTACAGAGCGAGTTCTAGGACAGCCAGGGTTACACAGAGAAACCCTGTCTCAAAAGCTAATAAAATCTCCAGTTTGGCAATCTCAGCCTTTTGGTCATGTACTTAATTCATTCATAATTTATGTAATATCATATAAGGAGTTACTGGTACCATCTCGTGGTTTCTAGCTCATGTTGGTTTGTCCCTCCCTTCTAGAATTCCTGGCTTCTTTGTCTTTAACAAATGCATTTTCCTTATTTTTGACAGTTTCCTATGTGTATGTAATAAAGTCTAGTAAGTCTCCCCCCCCCCTACCCCGTTACTCATCCCTCCCTTCTTCTGTAACCCTTCTTTTCCACAGCAGGTCCCGCTCTTCCTGTCATGCCGTGTGTGTTACCCACTGCATTTAGTAAGGATTGCCAACATGAGCACGTGTGGAAGATTTTAGCGGAGCATGGGCAGAGACTGTCCGCGGCACAGAAGAAAGCGACAGTTCTTCCTTCAGCCCTTAAGGGTGGGCGGGGCCTCCCGAGAACTCCTTTCCTTCCCTATCCCAATCCAAATGGAAACTTTTAGTGCACCGTGTTAGATTTTTCATTGCTCTGACTAAATATCTGGGGGAAAGAGAGAGAGAACGGGTTTATTTTGGCTTATAGTCTGAGGGTGTAGTCCATTGTGGTGGGAAAAAAAGGGGCAAGAGCTGTTTTAGGTGTGGTGGCGGCTGGGCACGTGTGCCTCTGAAGCAGAAAGAGATGGACACTGCGCTGCTTCCCTTCTGCTCATCAGGCAGCCTGGGAGCCTGGGAGCCTGGGAGCCTGGGAGCCTGGGAGCCTGGGAGCCTGGGAGCCTGGGAGCCTGGGAGCCTGGGAGCCTGGGAACCTAGCCCATGCAGTGGTGCTGTCAGCATTCACTCCCTGCCGTCTCTCAAACCCCGTGCAGACATGCCACAGGTAGACTCTTAAGCTCAGATCTTTAGTATTTTGTTCTGGGGATTACACTCAGCACTTCAATTGATGACAGTCTGTTTCAGCTTAATGCTGCCTTTACTCCAGTAAAATACAGCTCAAATATAGCCTCACTTCCCTTCCTTTGTGCCATTACTGTTTTATGCAATATATTATGTTATGGCTTGTATTTTATTTTTTAATGAAATTAAAGAAAGTGAATACATGTGTACATTATGATTAGAATAGCTGCTTTATATTCATTGCTGAATGCATTTGTTCAGAATCAGTCTGTTGGGTTTTTTTCTTAGCACAAATATCAATTTTTCCTGTTGTTTATCTGCCTTTACAATTTAAATAGAATAGTTTTTATACTGTGGAAACTCTAGACTCTGATTTTTAAAAAAGATTCATTTATTTTTATTTTCTGTATATTATGAGTGTTTTGCCTGCATTAGTATGTGCCCATTTAGTGCCCATGAAAGAAAGAAGAGGGTGCTGAATTCCCTGGAACTGTTTGTTGGGCGCCACCTTATGGGTGCTGGAACCCAAACCTGGGTCCTGTGCAAGGTCATCAAGCATCCTAACCACTGTGCCTTCTTTCCAGCCTTTGGAATTGGATTAAAAAAATTATTTTTGTATTTTATGTGCACATTTTGATGTTTAAATGTCTGCATCATGTATGTGCCTAGGGCCCATGGAGGCCAGAAGAGCGCGTTCGATATCCTGGAACTGGCGTTACATGTAAACTACCATGTAGGTTCTGGGAATCGAATCAGGATTCTGTGCTCTTAACCACTGAGCCATTGCTCCAGACCTGGAGGTGGATTTTTTAAAACCTGTGTGATTGTTTTAGAGTATTTTTTTTATTTTATTAATCTCTTACCGGATTGTAGTCTATAGAGTTTTTTTCATAGTAATTAGCTTTTTAGTTCTGTGTTAAAAATTAATTTCTTGGCACAGTTAATAAGTTATGTTATTCATGAGAGGTTATGTTTGTAGTTATAAAGGTTCCTTGTTTTTTGTTGTTGTTGTTTTTTGGTATGTAGTGTATGTGTGAGTTGGACAACACATTGAGTTGCTCGCATTTTCCCCGAGGTTACTCTGGGTCTCCAGGAAAGCAGTTCGCAGGTGTTTGGGGAGAGTGGGTTTCCTGACCTTCCATAGCTGGAGCTCCGCTGAAACTTTCTCATCCTTAATATCCTGTGCCTCCTACACGTGATTTAATTCTGCTCATCAGTCTGTGTCATCATTGCTGTTCTGAAACCAGCACCTTCCATTAGCCGTATTGCCAGTTTTCTGCTTCGGTCTTAATCCCTTAACACCCTTTAATAAAAACAATGACTTTTTTAAAAAGCTCCTTCATGGCTCCAAGGTAAAATCTTTTCTTTCTTCACTTAAAATTCCATTATTCCTTCCTTTCTTTTTCAAGATTCCTCCTGTCCCCCATTATTCAAACATATTCAGTTCAATTTTTAGAACACTCTTTTGGAATGGTTATGTCAGCTCATAACTTCACCTGTCAAAATCTCTATTGACTTTCATTGCATTTAAATTGAATTTCTCACCGTGGTTGAAGAGGCTTTATTCCTCTTTGCCCCCTACTATCTCTCTCTTTGAACTTACTCCCCCTACTCTCATACTCTCAATGATGCCGCCATCTTATCTTTCTAGCTCTTTCTGGAACATCCAAGCCTATCCCCAAGGTTCTTCGTAACTGCTGTGTTGTTTGCTAACAGCTTCAAATATGTCTTCGTTACAGTTCCTGTTTTGTATTAAAATACTCTGACAAGAGCAGCTTCAGGGAGAAAGAGTTTCCTTTGACTTAAAGTTCAAGTGTACAGTCCATCTTGACTGGCAAGTCCTTGTAGAAGGGGTGACACATTTCACCCACAGCCTGGAAGCAGAGAATGGTAATGGTAGTGTTAAGCTAGCGTTTGCCCTCTTTTCAGTCTAGGGCACAAGCCCAGGGAGCAGTGCCATGGACTTCAGGGTGGGGTCTTCCCGCCTCGGTTGGCCTGATCATGATCATGAATCACAGGTGTGCTAGAGGTTCGTCTCCTAAGTCACATTGATGGACAGGAGTCCCTGTTGTTCCTACAAAGTTCCACCTCACACCTTGATCTAAAATATCTATTATCTATAGCTCATAAATTTGATATTTTAACAATTTTTTAATTGATACTTTGGGAATTTTATGTCATATACCCTAATTCTGCTCGTTTCCTAGTCCCTCTATATTCGTCCCTTACCCCTGTAGCATCCACCCCCAAAAGAAATTTTAAAAAATATAAATTCAAAACAAAACAAAAACCCACTTCACTTGTCAGTTCCTACACACAATTTTTCTAGACTCATTGAGCTCAGAAAGCTGCTAAATTGACCACACAGGTGACAGATAATTGTACCTTTGATCAAAACTACTACCCAAATAAAGAGGACTTAAATATCATGGGTGTTTGTGGGGTGTGTGTGTGTGTGTGTGTGTGTGTGTGTGTGTGTGTGTGTGTGAAGGGGAGAAGGGAGTGAATAGAGGGGAAAGAGACTGGAGAAAACCTTGAGTGTCTACCATTCTCCCTTTTCTTGTTGGCTCCTCGCACAGGCCGTGGCCTGCTAAGGGAGGACTCGCGCTGAGCTGGGAGCACTCTGAACTGGTGGCGGCAGTAGAGCCTGGGGTTCTAAAACCAAACATTGAGCACCAGATGAAGCCGCAAAACAGTTCCACACCAGTTGAGAATTATGGATAATAAGAAGGGTTATTTTTTTTTTTAAGGGAAAAAACTTACAGATCACCGTCCCAAACAACAGTCCTCTTGTCGCAAACAGGAAACAGAGTCTAGTTGTCTCAACTGTCTCAACGGGAGCCAGCATGGTTCTGCTCCTTTTTTAAAGTATAAGAGACCACGTCCCAGTGGGCTGGTATCTTAAGGTTATTGGCTGAAGGAGCAGAATGTGCTCTCACAGCTCAGGGTCTCTCATGAACCTGAAATAATAATAAGTGTGTAGGTTAGGCTGAACTGGCCAGTAGGCGTCTAGGATCTGCCTGCCTCTACTTATAAGATCTGAGATTATAGGCATGCAGGGTCCCATGGGGCTTTTTCTGGAAGCTGGATATTGAAAACCAGGTATATGTTTGTCTAGAAATCTATCACCCACTGAGTTCAGCTTATGCTTATTAAATTTCCATATTTTAAAATTCCCTTTGGGTATAGCCATAACCCAGAGGTAAAACATGAGCTCATACACCATAGACCCTTGAGTTTTTTGAGAGTAGTTTTGTTTATTTCTTTGTCCATAATATTGAGCAGTGTGTGGCACAGAATAAATGTGCTGCACTTGTAGACCAGCGGTGCTCCCTCCCTGTGGAGTTGGTGTGTCAGTACTCAGCTAGGGAAGAGCACCTCAGTGAGAGCGTGAGAACGGCAGCAGTGTCTGTCCAGTGCATTCCAGACACGAGACTTCACTGAACATTGATTGCCTGAAACTTACAAAAACCGCCTATCAGAGGTCATTTAGGGAATTTTGTGGTCCTGTAATATTGGAGTGAAATCCAGACCTTAATTTCTGCATTTGTTCTACTGATGAGTAATGGCAGATGACTCATTATCTGACACTGGTACTTCTCTTTTCCCTCCTTTTTATTTTGTAGGTAGAGTATCCCAATTGGCCTTGAACTCATGGTCTTCCTGCCTCCACCTCAGGAGAACTGAGATTACAGTTGTGTGCCACTGGGTGCCTGGTTTGCCATACATTTTAACAGCATATTCAGAGACTGTTTCTATGCTTAATGTTATTTTAGAAGTATATTGGTCATTACGATGAGTAGCTGTTATTCTTAATTATTGCATGTGCTTGTTTTTTGCAGAACCGAGAGCTCCAGATCATGAGAAAGCTAGATCATTGTAACATAGTCCGATTGCGGTATTTCTTCTACTCAAGTGGTGAGAAGGTAGGTGTGAAAAAGTGTGAACTGACTCTAGAAACAACCCCTCCATCCCTCCAACAAATCGCTTTGCTGATTGGTTAGAAGAATTCAGAGCACAAAGCACGGTGATTCTGAACTGAAGAAACAGTCCTAGGGTATTACTGATTACAATATGAAATAGCTGATGAGAAAATGAACTAAGGGATCTCCCTGGGGTTGCTGGGAGACAGCTTAGCAGCTCCTGTCGCTCCAGCATGAGGACCTTAGTTCAAGTCTCTAGAGCCCACAGATAAAGCTTGACAGGGCTGCTTGCACCTACAGTCCCAGCTCTGTGGGGGCGTGGAGACAGACAGAATTGAGGGCTTGCAGACTGCCAGCCTCGCATGAGGTTCAGTGAGAGAACTTCTTGACTCAGGGGAATAATAATAGAGCTGGACACTCAGTGTCCTCTTCTGGCCTCCTCACATAGGCATGGACTTACATTCTTGCACACATGAATGTACACACACACACCACAATTTAAAAAGAAAGCAAATTATCTGAGCTCACTGCAGTAGCATATGTCTATAACCTCAGCACTTGAAACATTGAGAGAGAGAGGTCATCCAGTGCTATAGAGGCAGCCCAGCCCTCAACCCTAATCATTACCATCATCATTCTGGAATCTTGGGTGTGACAATAGCCCAAGCATCTAGGACTGCTCAGGATGGGAACTACTGGAGAACTGCCATAAAACCCTAAACCCCCTTACAAATGGAGGGGAAAGGATTTTCTGCTTTAAAGTAAACATGTCTTCAGTTCTCACAGACATTAATATCTTTTACTGATATTTCTGTGTTCCTTATGTGCTTATGAACCTCTGATAGTTCATCTGCTTAGAAGAGGAAGGAAAATTATGCTCTTGTGTTAGTTGGACGTTGATTAGAAGAGGAAGAGAAGTAGGGGTGGAGGACTTTGCTTAGCCAGGGCCAGAACTGTGAAACTCGATGCAAATAGTCACTGTTTGTGCTAGCATTTAATTCTCTGAAAGCAACAGAAGCAACCCCACCCTCTTCGTCCTCTGGTCTCTTCAGGAGATCTGGGGTACTTACTAGTCTCTTTCTTGCTGCCTATCACTGTCCTCTCCACTTTCAGTCTCTAGTGCCCCCCCCCACCCGCACCCCACTGGTTTGAAATGAAGAAGCAAGGCAAGCAACAATGTAACGCAAGCAAACAACCTGATTTTTTTTTTAAATTAGTCCAAATGAGATCTTGATATTTTGGGCTTCATATTTTATGCTTGTAATATCTGATGTTATTAAGCCAATGTTGCCTTTTGACTTTATAGAACATTTCTAGTGTAATCATTATTTAATGATTTTTCATAAAACTGTATTTAGGTCTCCTTAGAAATTTGAGGTGTCTCTCCTCAAACCTATAACGCAAGAAGATACTTGATCCATGTTTGTAATGTCCATGTCTACAGATCTATAATTAATTGTCATAACAAATGGCCTAACATCCATAATTAGCAATTTTATCTAATAACACTTGTTTCTTAGTTCATTTTGCTTTTAAGATCCGTCTACTAATATTGGGAATTGTAAACTCTTATAAGTATTTGGAATTCTTTTATTTCTAAAGCCAATTGGTTGATATACCTACTTATTTTTCCTTTGTCTTAACCTAGCAAACTGCCATCACTGTTTATTTTGGCGTATCTTTACTTTTTCCTGTCCCTTACCAAATAAGATTAGAGAACATCTGCTTTGTCCACAGCTTTTTATAATGGAATTTTGCATCCTCATGACTTTTTTATTATTAAATGCTAGACATTATAATTCCCCAGAGAGGAAAGTAAAGGTCAGAATTATTTTTTCATGATCTGCTAGATAACATATAGATTCATTTACAAATGCCTCCTTAAAAATTCCCTAAACATTGTGTATTAATTACTTTAATGAGCATAGTTCCCATGTACCAGACATTATTTTAATGCTTTGTAAATGTTAACAAATTTCACTTTTACAAAATTAAAGGGCGGCAGAGAGGGAGGCTTACAAGGTACTGAATGGCTGTTCGGGTTTTGGTTTGGCTGGAGGGTCCATCATCTCTATCGAAAGCTGACTGGCTATTGTCTGAGTACCTCAGAGGGAGATTCCCCCTCCTTGCTCCTGCCTTCAGTTTTCTGTTTACCATAGCCATTCTTATAAATTCTGAAAGGTCTCTGCCAAGTTTATTAGAGGAAGAGCAAATCTGTGTCTAATAAGAAAAGTAATTTTAACATCACATATCTCAAATTTGAGCACTCTTAATTTTTTCAGAGTGAAATAAAAAGATACTTCTTGGTTTGGAGTAGTTTCCAGCTCCAGATTCTAGACTTGAGGTTAGATTTATTTGTCGTCTCTCTCTAGATTTATTTCCTCTTATCTCTTTGTTCCTCTTCTTTCTGTTCTCTCTCTCTCTCCCTCTCTCTCCTAATATTTTTCTGTCTTTGAACCTATATGAATTCTATTATTTGGGCCTCTAGACTTTTGTTAGATCTTTACCTATATTGGATGTTCTTCCCCCATTTCCAACTCTAAATCTTTGTGCAGATTCCCTATCTTGCTTGAATATTTTTTTTATTCTTTCTTTGTATCCTAATACTCTGGGCTTAAAAATTGTTTTAAGATTGTATATATATTTTATGTATATGGGTGTTTTGCCTGGCTGTGTCTGTGCAGTGCTTGTGGAGGCCAGAAGAGGGCGTCAGATATCTGAAACTGAAATTAGACCTGGTTGTGAGTGCTCGGAGCCAAACTCCATTCTCTGGAGGAGCAGGCAGTGCTCTTGACCACTGTATCATCTTTCCAGCACCCACTCTGGACCTTTTATCACTCCATTTTTGGAAAATTATCAAAACAAACCTTTCTGGCACTGTCCTTTCTTTTGACTTCAGTTTTAATATTCTATCTTTACATGGTTGTATACTTAGTTACATTGAACCTTATTAAACATCGATCTCATTACATCTTGCTCTATTATGTCATAATTTGTGGAGTTATATTTTGTTCCCTTGAGCTGTATTATCATTACTCTTGACCTTTTTCATTGTTTCTAACTTTCGAGTTGTTACTAACCCCACACCTTAATTTTTGTCTGTAAGTGCATTTCAGATCTGAATAGAGTTTAAAAGGATTCAAATGTTTTTAATGACCAGATTTGAGGATTTATTTTTATTTTATGTCTGTGAGTGTTTTTATCTGTATATGTCTGTACACCATGTGCATGCATTGCCCTGGGAGGCCAGAAGTGGGCATCATATCACCTGGAGTGGAAGTTAGAGAAGATTGTGAGTGACCATGTCGCTGCTGGAACCAAACCTGGGTCCTCTGAAGAGAAGCTGGTGCTTCTTTTGCTGAGCCATGTCTCTAGACCCCTGATCATAGCTTAGGGACTTTTCTTTTGGGCAGTCAACTCTCTAATTCTACTAGGGAAATGCTAGCTATTGTAACTAGATGGAGCTGTTCAATCAAGATAGGGATCAGAGCTATTAGCTAGGTATTCTTAGTCTCGTTGGGTTATTTTTTGCTGTAGTAATTGAAACATGTTGTAATCAGCATAGTGTAGGTCACCCTGTAATGTTTTAGGAGCTCTAATCTCTCCCTTGATTGTTACGTTAGGAACAGTGGGAATTGTGAGTGTTTTGAAACCTTAGACTTAACAATTTTGTGAATTCCAAGTCTTTACAATAGGAATTTTCTCCCAACACTTTAGTATTTGGCTGTAGAAACCATCCTCATGAAATTGTATAAATTCTGATAGACTAAATGGAGAACAAAGTAGTTTTATGTGGAAACAGCTGTATGCCTGACCTTAGCTAGAGCTTACTCTACAGAACTTTGTGAGTTGGGGTAGAATGGACATAAAGCCATATTTTGTCTCTGTAGGAGTTCTGGGTTCTATATAAATTGTTTTCTCTTGTCATCTTGCATGCAAAAGTATTTGATGTCATAGGTTGTTTAAGTGAAGAGAAGAGGTTTCTCTTCTGGTTGTAGAGGAGACTTTGTAGGTAGAAGGATGTCAAGTGGTTTCTTTCTCACTTTTAGGAACTCATGTGATGCTGAGGTTGGACAGAGTTAGGCTAAGCTTAAATGTTTCTGTCTTCCACTCGCTTATGGGTATGTAACAAGAATCCATTCTGAAAATTAATTATATAATCCTTTTGGGAATGAACTAGATAACCTGCTTCTCAGCAGGAAGTATTGTTAGCCCTGCAGTTCTGCCACAGAGTAACACCACGACTGTGGGCGGATTACTCACTTTTGTCAAGTCTACCTGCTGCTTCTAAACAGTTGGGGCTTTGTAAGGAACATTTTTGTTTTCCCATTGCCAATAACACTGGACTGTGATGGACCCCACATGTTAACTTATTATTAGCAAATTGCTACATTTAGTCATAGTGTGAACACCTAGAGTACTTGCTGTCATTAGGTGGTATCCTGGGCTTTTCCCCTATAATTCATAGTTCAAACTGCATGGTGCCCTCTGTGAAGAATTCTGGTGTTATCTTAGTGCTACAGATGCAAACTACACTAGATAATAGACTCTGAGTAAATTACTTCAGATTTACACAGCTACTAAATGGAATTTGGAAGTAAACTTAGGGAGTCTGACTCCAGAATATGAAAGATGCCATATTATTCAGCATAGGATGTGGATTTCTTCAGAAACTGTGCAATAGAAATGTAATATTTAAAATATCTTAGTAGTGATGGTTGAACAAGGGCAGATTGTAGCGGCAATAATAGTTGTGATAGCAGAAATGATGATAATAGCTAAAATGTGCAAGGTTCTTACTGGATACCACTGCTTTTAGCTTTATTAGAGACTTTACATGTAGCATCTGAAAGCTCATTGGATTTCTATTTTTTATTATGTTCTTTTCTGTCCCTAACATAAGCAATCTTTCAAAACATATGTAACACATAGTTATCTTAGATTTACTATTATCAGGTGAAAAGGGTTATATGGATCATTGTCTTGAGAATTCAGTGTCTACT